CCATGGGCCCCATCTGGGCTCACCTGCAGCTGCGGAGGGTGGTTGCAGCTCCCTGCCTGAGGGCTTCCGTCCATTAGCCCAGGAGCTGGCTCAGCCCTGGAGCAGGACAGCGGCTGTGCTAGGGATTTAACGCCCAGTGAACACTCCTCAACCCTTGAGAGCCAGACTCCCCGATAAATAATCACCCCCACACCCTGGGAGGACGGGGTCCACAAGACTCCTCAGAGGTCCCCAGGAAATTCAGCCCCTCCTCCCAGGCCCCATCATCTATCCCCCTTTATTTATTGGCTTTTCTCTCATTTCTTCTCAGTTCCCCCATTCCCTCAGATGTGCTTCCCAAATAAAGGCTACTTTCACCCAAATCCCTGTCTCAGCGTCTGCTTCCGGCGGAATAGGTGAACCTCCTACCCGGCCCCAGACTTCCACTCTTACTTCTTTGTGTTTCTGAGAGGCAGGACCGCAGGGACACTCGCCTCTTTCACCACAGAGACTTCACCTGTGTGGCTCAATGTATTCTTCATTCAACAACTATTCATTGAGTGCCTACCACTTAAGGGTCAGGAATCCTTGCGCTCATGGAACTGACCTCCCTCATCCTCTCCCCGCTTTGCCCTCCTTCCCCAACACATACGCCTGCTTCTTTCTCTTCGCTCACTCCTACTTACCATTCAAGTCTCAGCTCAAATGTCCCATCCTCCAAGAGATCTTACTGCCCCCCTTCCCATCAACTCCTCCCTTCCCCACCCCCACCCCCCGCACAGAGCCTGACCTTTCTCATTACACCTGTCACCAGATTTGTCTCTCCCGACATCATGCTCCCTCCACAAGCATAAGACAATGCCCATTGCTCTCTCAATGTATCCTCTGCCCTTAGCACTGTGCCTGGTACCTAGTGAACGAACCAGTAAATGAATGAGTGAGTGAATGATCTAATGGCACCGTTGTCATTAATGAAAGGTAAGCAGAGGAATGAGAAACTCATCCTTGTGGTTGGGCAGGAAGAGGCAGATGAAGAGAAAATTTTCACAGTAGCCAGTAATGGTGACGGAGATGACCACAAATTGTGGAGGTCTAGACCATCAGGTAGCAGCCAGAATGTCCGTGGGGGCCCAGAGAGAGCAGCAAGGAGGATGCACCGTGAGATGCAGAAAAGGCAACCCTCCAAAACCAAACCTTTTATTCCTCCTTCACCATTCCCCAGCCACAGAGAGGCAGCAATGGAAGGTATCTCGGGGAACATCTATCCTCCCGTTTCCCAGGTGAGAAAACCAATACCCAGAGAGGTGCCTTGGCCTAGTCCTATGATTAGTGGCAAGCCTCCAAATGCTGAACTTACTGTCCATTGCTTGTTAAAATCTGAGCCTCAGGCTGGCCCGTTCCAGGCTGTAGGTACAGCTTCCCACAGCATGCCCTCAACCACGAGCAGCTCATTGTCCAGGAGAGACAGCTTCCAGGCTATATATCAGTAATCAGTGACGTGTGGGATGCTCATACCCCTCTCCTGGTAGCCTGGCTCTCCCACATTGCCTTTCTCCCACCAAAGGACTGCTCTGAGGAGACCACCCAGACTCCACCTTTCTAGAACCTGTGCTCTGGATTCCAACAGCCTTTCCCAGGATTGAACTCTTGCTTAATTCTTGCGTGTTCAGGCCTCCTCAAAGAAGCTCAGTGCCCCCAGGTGCTCTGTGCATCCAGATGTGACTCAGACAGTAAAGGCAAGCCTCCCCTGATGGACACTTACTGGGCTCTGCCCACCCATTTTGGGTTTAGTCCTAGCAATAAACCTCACCCCAAGCTGAACAGCAAATTATCAGTAGCAACTGGGCAACGTCGCAACTGAAATCTCTTTATACTTGGTCTTCAATATATCAGAAGAATAAGCAAACATACAGAAAAAATAATAACTCACTTTATTAAAAGCTTTTGATGTGCCAAAACCTATGTTAAGCATTATATTGGATTTAATATAACAATTGTATGAGGTAGAAAGTTTTATCATCAATCCCATTTACTTATAAAGAAACTGAGACTCAGTGAAGTCAAGTGACTTGCCCAAGACCACACAACTAGTAAGTGATAGAACTGGTACTCAAGCCCTTTTCCATCCAACCCCAAGTTCTCAGCTTCCTCCCACCACCAAACCACTCACCCTTTCCCAGAGACCAACCAGGACCCAGACACCAAAAGGGAGCCCAAGTGTGTGCCAAGCACCAACATCTCTGGAAAGATGGCATCCCAGAGCCAAGTGATTATCAAAGGATGGTCAGACTGGCTGATACTCAGGTAAGGAGAAGAGGGAACTACTATCACATATGACCCAGAATCACCATGACCCTATGCCTGCCTCTGAGCTTTGTCCTGGGGCCCAAAGCAAAATGTGAGGCTTGGGAGCCTTCAGCCCCCTTCTCTGCCCCATCCATCCCCTTTCCAGTAGCCCTACCCCACGTCCCCTCACCTCCCCTTAGCCACACACACCCGACACCACTCCATCGTGATAGAGAGAAGCGGCTAGGGAGTTAGGGATGTGTCATCCTTTGAGAGCATGCACAGTTTTAAAGTGGATGCAGAAGGAGGCAATCCTAAAACAAAGGAAGAGTTGCTCCCCTACCTTAGGATGTCTCAATCAGCTGTGAGGTAATCTGTCACTACTAGCAGTGAAAATACTAAAATTTGGGATTAAGTATGTTGGAAAACCGAAGTAAACTTGGATCTTCCCTAAAACCACATCATAGTCACTTGAATTTGATGTGTATTCTTGCATGGAAGAGAGAGAACGGCCTGACAATTCATTCACTAGTACCTGCATAACTCACAACCCCCTCTGAATATGGCACAATCCAAGTGAATAATTAGGACCGCTATATTATTAGTAATGTGGCATTTGGGAATTATTACAGCACTTTACTTTCTCCCAGGTTTTTTTTAGATTATATCAAAACTGGAGTATCCCCAGGGGAGTATACGCCCTGACACGGGAATATCATCCATCATGAACACAACAGCTAGGAAAGGAGGCTCTGAGGAAACTGCAGGCTCAGAAGGGCACTTTGTGGAGACAATAGGAAGCTGTGACAGCTTGTAAGATGCTCCCCGTTTTCATTCAAGAAGGTCTCCAAACCCTGCCTCCTCCATGAACTCTTCCTCCAGCAGTGGGAGAGAACTGTCTGCTCCAGGGCCAGAACTTTCCCAGGGACAAGGGGCCCACCTGCTTCAGTCAGCTCAGCTGCCATACAAAATGCCATAGACAGAGAGGCTTAAACAACAGACTTTTGTTTTTCAGAGTTCTAGAGGCTTGGGAAGTTCAAGATCAAGGTGCCAGGAGGTTGGGTGCCTGGTGAGGACTCTCTTTCTGACTTGCAGACAACCACCTTCTTGCCATGTCCCCACATGGCCTTTCCTCGGTGTGTACAAGTGGAGAGAAAGAAAGACATCTCTCTCTCTCTCTTATCAGGCCACCAATCCCATCATGAGTGCCTCACCCTCATGACCTCATCTAACTCTAACTACCTCCCAAAGATGCCAGCTCCAAATATCATCACCTTGGGGGCTCGGGCTTCAACATATGAATTTGGGAGGGTCACAGACATCCATTCCATAGCACCAGTGATGGGAATGATCAGTATAAAGATTGGTCCTCAGGTGACTGGTGCAAAAATGGAATCATTCATTCATTCATTCATTCATCAAACTGATATTTATGAGTACTTACTATCTACTAGGCATATACTGACATGGATTAGCACTCATCATATATCAGTGGTCTGCACTGAGGTTCCAGTGTTGATTCAAGTAAATCTAGTTCCTGCCTTCATGAAGATAATAGTCTTCAAGATAGGGCAACCAGAATCTGTGGAGAAGAGAGCACCAGATGTCAGTGTGGGTCTCTGCAGAGCTCATTCATTCATTCAGCATTCAGCGAGTATGATTGTGTGCTGGACATGGGAAGAAATCAGACACGGTCTCTGCCCTCAAAGAGCTCACAGCCTAGAACATAGAGGCAGATTGCAAACACAGTGCGGTTAAGTTCTACAGAGCTGAGTCACGACATGTACATGTAATATTTGTGCATACAATTATACAGCAAAAAAAGAGAGAAAAAAATCAGATAAATAACACAGTGGTTCACCCACCATTCCTCCCAGTGAGCAATACCCCAGCATGGGCCTGAGGTGGGGTGTGAAACGAGTGTACCTTCGGTGTATTCCACTTCCCATTATCTCTCTTGGTGTGATCGTTGCCTGTTTGATACTCGTTCATGATTAAAAATCCACATTTTCTTCACTCAAGGCCCCTAACCTCAAGCCAACCACTTCATCTGGTCATCAGCCAAAGAGGCGGCATCACTTTCAACACAGGCTGGGCCGGACTTCGTTTTTCTTTTTTTAATATACTTATTGTTTGCAGTACAGTTGACACAAATATTGTATTCGTTTCAGGTGTTCAACATAGTGATTTGGCAATTTTGTACATTACTCGGTGCTCACCACGATCAGTATAGTGGGCTGGACTGGCTGTGTGTGGTGATATACTTTGTAAGTTGCCCAGAGAGTTTATCACTTGAGCCGGGACACCCCTGAGAGTGAAGTCTAGTGATGTTGAGAATTACACCAGAACAAGAAGCATAAACTGAGACTGTCCTGAGCAATTCAGGAATCTGGCATCTCTGTTTATGGGTGACTTAAGGGATTTTTATTTATTTTTTTAATCTGAAAAGAGGTTTTTTTTTAAACAATATGTTTTGTTACACAGGTATTAAATATAAGAATGTTTTCTAGTTTTAATTTTATTTCTTTTAAAATAGATTAAAGTTCACAATAATTATTCAAAAAGAACACAGTGAAAAATCTCCCTCTGACTCCTATCCTCAGCCACTCAGTTGCCTGCACAGGAACCAGCAGCCTATATATAAATACATATATATACACACATGCATATACATTTATGTGCATATATGTATACATATATATACATATCTATATTTTACACAAACAATAGCACAATATTCACACTGTTCTGCCCTTACTTTTTTCTCTTAACAGTACACCTTAGAGATCATTTCATATCGATATGACAAGCTTCCTGCTAATATAGGATGCTTTACTATTTCACTGTATGGATGCAAATAATTTATTTAACCAGTCTCCATTGATGGACATACAGATTGTTTCCAATCTTCTGCTGCAATGAATGACCTTGACCATGTATCATCTTGTATATGGGCCAGTCCATCTGTAGAATAAATTCCTGGAAGTAGAACTGCTGAGTCAAAGGGCTTATCAGGTTAGATTCTGTTTGGTGGCTCATAACAGAAAAGCCAAAACATTGGTCATTTAAACAAGATAGAGATTTATTTCTCCCACAAATAAAAGGAGTCTGGTGGTGGGCCATCCAGAGCTGCCATGGACTTCCAAGGGTCAAGAGTGGCCAGGATTCTATCTTTCTGCTCTGCCATCCTCTGTTGATTGTGGAGGCCTTCTTTCGGTAAAAGAATACAAAATTACAAATACCTATAGAGTGAGAAAAAAAATCATAATATAATACATGTAAGTTCTTAAGAGCTGAAATAACACAAACATCACATCTGGGAAAAGTAATATTATAACTACTCAACTGCCCACTCTATAATAGGTTTTTTCCCTACTTTTTCTGGCTACATGATCTTCGATCACTTTACCACAGAACAATATTTTGTAATACCTTCTGGAAAATAAATAAAAAGATAATTGAATTTTCCTTCAGCATGGCTCATTAAAATTTATTATTATTGTAGACAGTTAAAATGCATAAAACATGTGAGACATACTATTTGTAGTACCACTACAGATTTTGCCCCACCAATATAGGAATTCTGATAAAATCTATGGTTCCCAATGCCCATAAGAAAAATATCCGGTGTGTTTATTAATGTATAAGCTAAGTTACTGAGCACGTGCCCAGTAAAAGAAAGCTCCTATCTTACCTGGCATCCACGAGTACCAAATTCTCACCTACGATTTTATACATCTTACAAGTGGGAGCATGTTACACAAACCAGTTTCTGGCTCCATTCATTTTAACCTCTTTTTCTCTTCTGCTACCAAATACTTCTGATGCTGGGCATAGGACACATTCACATTGTGATGTGATCCCTAGCCCTGCATCTTGGTATTGCAAAGCCAGGCACAGTAAGCAGTAGGGGTATTCACGGAAGCCATTCCTACAGCAGGACGGCTAGCAAATGACGGCAAACCCCAGAAGCATATCCACTTATACACCGACTAAATGCAACCCCAGTTCAACTTCCCCCTGGCTGGATTCCCCAAATTCCCGTGGCCATTCCAATACCAGCCAACCCAAGGGAAAGTGTGACACAAGAGAAATCAGAGTAGAAACAGACAGCAGTCTAAACCATGTACAGTTGAAACATCTTACTTCTGCAAAGAAGTTACAAGAACCCCTGACCACATGAACACGCCAGGGCTCTCCTGGGGCAATGCTCGTGCAAGTGAAGGGCTCCGAAAGTTCAGCTCCCTTACCTGCATGGTACAATGGCCCTGGCCAGCAAGGTTCTGGATTCAGGCCTGCCAATCACATACCCGTGATCTGGAAGGCGGAGGGGAGGCAGAAGCCCTTCTTCCTTTGCCAATGGCAGGTGCTGAGGTGCCAGTGTCAATACATATGAGTTTTTGCACTGGCTATTAGGCTCCATATTCTGCAGTCCATCCATCATCCACTTTGGGTCTACCGACTGTAGAGGGCCGCTGTATGGGTCAGCAGCAGCTTTCATCGGCTGTTTGTTTTAATGTAATTTCCATTCTAATTTCACACATGCAGGAAAGCAAAGAACACAATGAACATCTAGGTTCTATTTGCCCAGTTGCAGCCATCATTAAAATTTTGCCATTTTTTGCTTCATAATTGAATCATTTCATGGTAGATATAAAAGATCGTAACAATTCACCCCTAAACACATATCTCCAAAGAGTAGGGATGCTTTTTCAATTAACAACAAGACCAAAAATATCCCTAACAAAAGTAGCAATAATTCCCTAATATCACCTAAAAGTCACTTCATATACAAATTTCTACAATTGTCCTAAAGATATATTTTATAGCTATTTCTTTGACACCAGGATCCAATAGGTTTCATGCAATGTATTTGTTATGCCTCTTAAGTCTTGTCTTATTTAGGACAACCCCCTCATGACATTGACTCTTTGTAGAGATCAGGCCAGCTGTCATGTTGAATGTCCCACATTCTAAATACATCTATTTCCTTACTCTGTCATTTCGCTATTCCTAGTATTTCCTGCAAAATGAGGTAGATCTAAAGGCTTGGGGGGTTTCCAGCCAGACTCATTGAGGTATAATTTATATACAGTAAACATCATCCTTTTTACTTTACTGTTCTGTGCATTTTGACAGACAGTCATGTAATCTAAAAGCTTGGTTTGATTCAGATTTAACACCACTGGTCAAAATACTTTAAAGTGATGTTGTGAACTTCCTATTGAACTTCTTATCACATCCTCAGGTAATGTCTAGTTGTTCCACTATTAATGATACTAATTTTAAATACTGGGTTCCTGTAGCTTTCTGATATCTGAATGTGTATTAGTTTTCTATTGCTGTGCGACAAATTACTATAAACTTGGAGGCTTAAAGCAACACCTACCTATTAGCTCATAGTTCTGTAGGTGGGAAGTCGGGCATGGCATCGCCAGGTTCTTTGCTCAGGGGATTACGAGGCTCAAATCAAGGTTTCGGCAGGCTACATTGTCATCTGGAGTCCGGGCTCCTCTTCTAACCTCATTAAAGTTGTTGGTGGGATTCGGTTCTGACTGATCTTGACTGTCGAGGGAAAATAAAACTGATACTACTCAGCAGGGACCTGAAAGGCATATGTCTGGAACCTGGAACCACAGGATTCTTTGGGGTGCCTACTTGTACCTCTATGTCCATTAGGAAATATTAATGGAAAACTACAGTAACCACATACAGGAAGAACCACCAGGAGATTACATTCTTCAGGAAGGAAGGCTTGGGTTATTCCACCAGATAAGAGTACCCCGAATAGCTGGATGCTGGCTGAGGGCAAAAGGAACAAGGGATAGATGGCAGAGGAAGGAAGTTATAATAACCAAAATATAGTAAATATACAAATATGCATATATATTCTTCCTTGCTTTCTTAGGTATTTTCTTCCTCTTTCTTCCCCCTATTATTTTATATAAGGAGTGTTAGTGGCAGCTGATCTTACACTTTAGTCTTTAGAATATCAAACAGATTGTGACTGAACAAGAAGGGAAAAGAACGTCAGCCAGAGATGGACACCACAACTAATGAGTCTCTGGCTCTTTCCTCTTTGGGGAGAGAGTGGCTACCTTGTTTGCATTATTTTTTTAAAGATTTTATTTATTTATTTGAGACAGAGAGCAGAGTGAGAGAGAGCCTGATGCAGGGCTTGATCCCAGGACTCTGGGATCTTTTTTTTTAAAAGATCTTATTTATTTATTTGACAGAGAGAATGAGACAGAGAGAGAGCATGGGTGGGGGGAGGGTCAGAGGCAGAAGCAGACTTCCTGCTGAGCAGGGAGCCCGACATGGGACTCGATCCCACGACTCCAGGATCATGACCTGAGCCGAAGGCAGTCGCTTAACCAACAGAGCCACCCAGGTACCCGTGGACTCTGGGATCTTGACTTGAGCCAAAGGCAGTCGCTTAACCAGCTGAGCCACTCAGGCGCCCATGGACTCTGGGATCTTGACCTGAGCTGAAGGCAGACGCTTAACCAGCTGAGCCACCCAGGCGCCCCTGCATTATTTTTTTTAGCTATGCTTTCATTTAGGTGGAAGCACGTTGTTGTTATATTGTTATATATCATATATGCTGTTGGAAATTTAACTATGGACAAAAGGGCACATATGGATGCTGGGAAGCCAAAGAGCTGGATCGTATGAGATACTATCTACTATAGTTCAGCACCCCTTTCAAGTCCCTCCTCTACTCTCCCATAGGGAGATAAGATACAGATCACAGGGCTTAGAAGTGCAGGAACTACATTTCCCAGATGTCCTTCCCAACTGGGATACAAATAGGGTTGTTTTTTGCCAATGAGATGTGCTCACAGTGAGATATTAAAGACTGAAGTGGGTAGGAGCCATCCCTAATCTGGTTCTGACGGCAGCTGACACGGAGGCTCTGGCCACTGTGAGCTTTGCAGTAGTCAGCCTAGCACTGGCTTCAGGGTTACAAGGCAGGTGTGATTCCCTAGTCTCTGGGTGGTGGCAATGGTTTTCCAGACCTCTCAATCACAGCTTGGGGCAATGTGACCAAGAATCCTAACTTTTGCTCTTCCCGTCCATCTACTGGTTTTTACCATCGTCTGAGTCCCTATATTATATCCCTTTCTGCTCAAAATACCTAAGATGGTTCTGAAGCTCCGAACTGAATGCTGACAGACTCTTCCATGCAGTTTGTACCAATCTGCATTTTCATCCACAACGTTGGAGAGTGCCTCTTTCCCTCACAGCCTAAGCAACACAGTGTATTATTGAACTTCTTGTCGTTTGACTAATCTCTTAGGTGAGAAAGGTATCTTAGTGTAGTTTTAGTTTGCATTTCATTCATTCAGTGACAGTGAACTTCTTTTCATATGTTTAGAAGCGATGAGGATTGCTTCTTCCGTGCATTGTGCCACTAGCTCACTGTCACATGGCTGCAACCACAAGGCTTGGACCCCAAGCCCCTAATCATACCAGGTCACCACAGACCTCCACATTACCAAATCCCATCATCAACCTTTGAGTCTTTTATTTATACTACTAGCAACATTTAGCAAAAATGGCCATGCCTCTTCTTTGAGGCACTGGCTGCCCTTGGCTTCCAGAGCTCATACTATGTTCATTTTCCTCCTAACTCACAGTTCCTTTTGTATGTTCCATCTCATCTCCGCAACTCTATACCATTGGGTTGCCTTGGGCCCCAGGTCTTGGACCCTCTATTGATCCCCATTCACCTGTGATCTTGTCCAGGCTCATGGCTCTCAATCATTTTTCTATACTGAGGGTCCCAAATTTATATCTCTAGCTCCAACCACTCCCCTACTCGAAATCCCCACTTGGATGTTTAAAAGTCATCTCAAACTAACCATGTCCAAATCAAACTCACCTCCTCCCTTCTAAAAAAATAGAACCTTCTCCTCCCAGTGTTCTCTGTTTCAGTTAATAATAGCACAGCACCATCTCACCAGCCACCCAGGCCACAAACCAGGCAGTCCTCCTTGATTCCTATCACCCCTCATCCAATCTTCACAAACCTACCAGACCTACTTTATTTTTTTTTAAGATTTTATTTATTTATTTGAGAGAGAGACAGAGAGAGCATGAGTGGGGACAAGAGCAGAGGGAGAGGGAGAGAGACAAGTAGACTCTCCACTGAGCAGGGAGCCTGACATGGGGCTCAATCCCTGGACCCTGAGATCATGACCTGAGCCAAAGGCAGATGCTTAACCAACTGAACCACCCAGGCACCCCCATATCTACTTTAAAGGTCCATCGAGAATATGATGTTCGTAGCCCCATCGTGGGTCCTGGCTTATTGTAGTGGCCTCCAAATGATCTCTCTGCCTTCATTCTTGTTCCCTTCCAGCTCCTCACAGCATACCTGCTAAAAAGATTCCATTAGAACATAAGTCACATCAAGTCACGCCAATCAAAACACCCCACTGGATTCCCATATTACTCTCAGTAACTTCCAGTTCTTACAAAAGCCTCCCAAGCCCTTCTTGATCTGCCCTCCTGGCCAACAGGTCTCCAATCTTATCTCTACTGCTTTCCCTTCCATACCCTCTACTCCAGCTATATAAGCCTCCTTGTACCTCAGACGCACCAAGCACATGCCAGCTTCGGAAATTTTGCACTTGCTCCCTCTGCCCAGAATGATCTAGACAGCCAAGCTGCTGACTCTCTCAGCTCCTCAGTGCTCAAAGGCACTTCTCATGGAAGAGGCCTTGCTTATTCAAAATAGTCACTTCTGCCCTCCCTCCAGAAAGTCCTATCCCCACTTCCTGCTTTTTCATCATAGCACTTAGGATGATCTGAGCCTCTGCCACCAGCACAAACACCCCCTTACCAGCTAGGAGTGTAAACTCCATGAGAATCAGGATTTCAGGCTGTTTTATTCAGTGCAAAATCCCTAGCACCTAGAACAGTGCTTGGCATATAACAGACCCTCCGTAAGTATCTATATTAATAAATGAATGAACAAAAGTTAACATATAACTTGTAGGACATTCATGTCACAGGATGAGATGTAGATCTGGGAAGCCATGGGAGTGGGTGAAATTACCTTAGAGGGAGGAGATAAAGCTGTAGATGGGAAATACTAACTCACAAGCCATGGTAAGTGTCTAAACTGGAGAAGAAGAATTCAATGAGAACAGGACAAAAATGCTATAGGGCAGGTGAGGGTTAAGAGTAATAGCTGAAGTATAGGGGCATCTGAGTGGCTCAGTTAAGCGTCCAACTCTTGGTTTCAGCTGAGGTTGTGTTCTCAAGGTCATGAGATCGAGCCCTACGTCGGGCTCTGCGCTCAGTGTGGAGTCTGCTTGAGTTTCTCTCACCCTCTCCCTCTGTCTCTCCCCCTTGCTCGTGCTCTCAAATAAATAAATCTTCAAAAAAAAAAAGGAATAGCCAAAGTGTAAAATATGTCAGGTACCCTAAGTGTATCAACTTACAACAACCCTATGTGTTCAATACCATTATTATTCCTAATTTCCAGACAACTAAGTGAGTACAAAAGGTTTAAGAACTTGCCCAGGGCCATTTGGCAAAACTGGGGTCAGAAGCTGGGCTGTTGTCTTTATGTTTCTACTATAACTGCCCTATAACTGCTTTGATGGGAGCTGATTAGGACTGTACCAAGGTTGTGGAGGATCCTATCTCCAGTCCCCATCTCCATGCTCACCAAGGAAGACAGGAAGAGCATCCTTGGAGTGAGGCAATGTGTCCTTCCCAGGGGGCTAAGATGCATTACCAGAATGAGCTCTGGGGGGAGGACCAACACAGGCTCCTGTCCTGGCTTTGCCACTTAACACTCAGGAAATTCAGCCTAGCTACTGCATATTCCAACTGTCCCCCTCCTCATTGTGCAAAGAGGGAGCCGGCTCACATAATCTCACAAGTTCCTCCTGGCTTAGAAATCCCACAGTCTACAACCAAGGCACCAACTCTGTTAACAAGAGAGAGAAACACATCCTACAAGATACAACTTTCCTGCTACAAGGTCGTAGGGAAAAATCAACAAATAATGAGGGCCTGTTAGACTTTTCTCATGGAATCGGAAGCTCTAAGAAGGTTACTAAGAACTAGGGACTTGGAAAAAGGAGCTATGGAAAGAACTGGACATCCTTCAGGGGGACACTGCACATCTTGGATGCGTGTTCATTATCAGGGTTCCTCTTCTTTTTGGTATTATAATTATTTTACTGGTGAGCAAAACGGGAGACTCTACATGTCAGGGGAGAGGCCAAGAATAAAATTTAATTCCTGAAAACATAGATTGTAGAAGACATCATGCTAAAAAGGAGGAATTTTTAGACATACACATACGTCTATAAATAAGTAGAAGCCTGTGTTAATGTTCTGCACACACCTGTCCATAAACTGTGCTTGTGCGCACATGCCTGGACACGCTCACGTGTGTGACACATGCTCACACAGCGCGTCTCAGCGTGCGTGCGTATCTATATATACCCACAGGACTGGCCAGATATAGATTTATATATTGGAGCCTGGCTCTTTAAAATGGGGGATAATGACACTGAAAATTATTCCAAGCTTTTCAAAGA